TCTTTTAAAAAAAAAAAAAAAAAAGAAATGCATAGAGAAATATATTTGTAATTGGAATTATGACTTTCTAAAGGAATATACCATCGAAATCTGTAGGGGAGTGTAGAAAGAAGCACAAAAAGAGGCATCAATACATTTTAAAGGAAGAGCTTTACCCCTTAAATAAATGCAAGAATCAATGATCACTCAAGTTTCACTTGTCTGATCATAACCTGGTGATCCCTTCCCAAGTTCTGATGGGAAAAATAAAAGAAGTAAAATTCATTCTACTATCATGCTATAAACTTGTCATGAAAGTCCACTGGTCCTTCTTCTTTCATTTATATATGAAGACACACCCTATGTGTGGAATTCAAGTTTTAGAATTCAAGTTTTAGAGTGAGTCTATAGTGCCCTGTCTTTGGTCTGCGGGTCAACTGACATTATCTATACCAGAACAGCTCCAGAACTTCTGGGAAACCTCAAATGAGGCCAAGCAATAACCACTGAATCTTATTCCATCAAAGTCAGGCATCAGGGACACTAAGGGAGGGATGCTTTTTGCCTCACCGAGCTCTCCACAAAAGTGGTCTGAATTGCAATGACAGGTGACCTTTCAGCCTCAACCATACTTTCTGTTCAGTGATTTAGAAACTTTGTACTGGGGTTGATCACAAGTTCCACAAGAGAACACTACTAAGCCTCAGGCGGTCCAAAGTAATTCGATATTCAGGATTATACTGCCTTCTTCCTCCCCAATGAACACATACACAAATGTCTAGTGATTTTTAGATGTTTTGATCACATTGGTATATAGCTTAGCCAAAATAAAGCTAGATAAAGCAGGAAATAATGGCTGTTCCTTGGAAGGGTTCTATTTGCAAGATACTAAACATAAGTCACATATTATGCAAAAATAAAAGTTGATTATAAATATCCCTAGTTTCACCTATGCCCCTCCATTGATGAAATAGTCCTAATAAAGGAAAAACTCTTTAAATTCTGATAAAAAAAAAACAGCACAATTAAGTAAAAGAAGAAAAGATAACAATAAATCAAGCATTAGAATATCAAAAAGGTTGATCAGAAAGGGAGATTTAAGGCACAACTGGGGACAAGCTGTGCTCATCCAAGGATCAAGTCAGAATCATCAACTTTGTGGACACCTTCATTCCCCCTGACCTTCAGGGAGGATGAGCAACATGCAAAGGGTCAAGTTCACTGAACTGGACAAAATAAGTGGGAAGTAAAAAGAGGGACCCAGCCTTTTGTCAGTCTGACGGGGAAACCCCTGTGACAGCATCGTGCTTTTCTGAGACCTCAACTTGTGGGGGCTGATTCGTGGAAGCTCCTGAGACTAAACCTCCAGCCAAGGCAGTGATTGTTTACACATACTTGTACAGATGCATACACACAAATGTACACATAGGCACACTCGTCATTTACTGACCTCTCCACCGTGGGGGAAGGATTTCCCAATTCCTCTATTCTGACTATTCCTACCCTGGGAATTATGCTATGCTCACTCCCACTGCTGGTACCTGATCAGCGATGTGCCCAGAAATAAGAGGATTCACACATGAATACCAGGGAAATAAATACAGAACGGCCAGGGAAATAAATCTCAGCATAAAGAAAATACCACACTTTGAAATTGCACAACCTATCCCAAAATCCCCCCTTTTCTTTAAAAAAAAAGTATAATGAAAATGTACAGTAGCAAAAAAGTCTTTAAAATATAGCAAAAATATTCACATTGACTATAGTTTAAAAACATCTTCATTCTATCAAATTTAAAGCAGTTTTCCTTAAGTTAATATAAATGTTTCCATGAAAAACTAAGCTAGAAAATATAAACCAGATCAACTACCTGAGATAATATTATTGCTTAGTTTTTAGCACTTGAGTCAGAAACATCAGGTAATACTAGTTAAAAGTTAACTAGAGAAAAGGGGGGAAATGCAAATCTTTGTAAATGGGGCATGAGCATTTGTCACAAACTAAGAAATCAAACCTTAAAAACGTGGGTCAGAGCCTAAAAAATTCCCCCCACATTTCTAGGTGGAAGGTCCTGAAGAGAAACCTACTAACCTCTAATACAATTAAACTGATTATTTTTTTCAGCTGGAAAGTTCACTGACCTTGAGCCAAAAAAAAAAAAAAAAATCCCCAAAACTAATAATAACAATATATAAATTCCCATGTTTACTTACACAGGGAACATTAAAATCAGACATTCATTTACAGACAGATGCCTATTAATTACCTTGAAGTGCTGTGTAAATTCAGTTTGCATTAACTGTTTTCTTAAACTGAATTTGAAAAACCATCATGCTATCAAGTGTCAAAAGATAAAGAGTTAACCTAGAAATCAGAAATTTTAAGCCTGAGGTTTAGCTCTTCCAAGTTTTTAATGTTACCGGGGAACAAGCTATTTTGGCTACATACGTCTAATGCCTTATCTCCAATCCAGCTCACTGATTCAGTGGAACAATGCACACACCTTTTGAAGAAATTTAAGAGTCACAATCAAACATTTATGTCTTTTTCATTTAGGGTTATAATAATACTCCAGGAGGATGGACACAGAATAAACTCTCCTCAGTCTCCCAAGAGACAAACAGACACAAAGAGCATAAAGAACATGAACAAGGTCCCAAGATACTCAGCAGACCCAGCACAACAGATTTCCAACTATCAGAAGAGCAAGGACATTCATTCAGAAGTAGGCATTGTCTTTCATTCAGAAAGTGAATAACTACCAGAAAACAATATAATGAAAAGCTGTAACTATCATGCTGCTTTAGTTTTCATAGTCCTGAAACCCAAGTTGCAAAATAAAACATCCACTGATTATATTCTAAGCTAGGAAGTCCTTGGTGCTACTCAGCCCATAACATTTCATAGGGCATCGACACAGGCTCCTCCCAGATGAACAAATCCTTAAAACTCTGAGGGCAATATGAGTCCACGGATTAAAGAAATAGAATATCCCATCAAAGCACCAAGTGTCACCAATACCAGCATTTCTCAAGCTCCCTCCTCACCTTTGAATCTACCTGCAAAGAGCTTCCGTAGACTAATCACAACAAAAGTCTGTCAACATAAAAGTAATACTGCACACATTCTAAGGAAACTCAACTTTCAAAACACCAGCAGGAGACACTGAACATGAGAAAGAAATATTTACACAAATGGATATGCTAATTAGAGGGCCAGTTTTATTTTTCTCAAGGTTTAAAGATTATGAGGTGTAATCAGAGAAACACACACTCCACTAGGAGTCTGGAGAGAGGGCCCTAGTTCCAGTGTTGGACATTAGTGTCCTGTGTTCCCTGGGTAAGTGGCTTCATTTCTCTTCCCCTTAGTTTCTCCATCTCTAAAATGAGCAGATGGGAGTCCACAACTATGGTGTCATTTCCTGATTTACCACTTAGAGCCCCAGATACGTCCAGGTACCCAGACATTTACCTTTGCAGAAAAAGACACTATAGAAACAGAAACCTGTCCCCCTATTGTCCAGGTACTAGACTCTGCTCCTACTTGTTTTTATTCTTGTGTCCATAAGTGCAATAAGTATTGCCCACAGTCTCCAAAGGAGTGATGACACTGGATTATGTAACTTGCCCAGGGTCATAAGTTTCACAAGTGGAGAAGTTGGGATCTGACCCTTAGTATTCTGACATAGGACCCCCTCCTGGCCAACCATCACATTCACAAACCCAGAGAATCTAAGGAGAGGAAGGAAAAAATGCAGAGGCCCTCGCAAGATTCTGGGGGGAAAGGCAAAAACCGAAGTCTTACTGTGACTTCTCACCAAAACAAAGGGTAACTAAGGATTTAATTCACACCCTGCCTAAGCACCTGTCCTGCTTGCTTTTTACTTCCACGCTTCCGTTTCACAGGTAAATAGATAAAGATAAAAAAAAATAAAGATCTTAAAGGAATGAAGTCTACCTCCCTTCTTTCATTCATTAGGGGTCAGGCACATATCACAGAAGCTAGGGGAGTATTGGTGACTTCCACATCCCCTGCCAAGCAATCATTGTCCGTTATCACATGGTTGGCTGTCACGGTCCAGGGACACTGCATGTGAAGTCAAGCGCCCTGACACCTAACAGCAGAACACAGCAACCAGCCAGGAGCTGAGATACCAGCTCCCGCAGCCGGAAATCTCCAAGACTGGGGTTAGTGCAGGGACCACAAATACCTGGTCATCAAAATATAGTGAGTGTGCATTACAAGTGCCAATTGGCATTCACCATCAGGACAGAGAACATACTAGTAATCAAGGAAGTCCTATGTAACAATCTTATACACTGTTGTGTTTACATACACACTTCCCCCATTCATAAATCAATTTAAGTCTCTAGAACCCTGCAACTGGCTGAGTTCCAGAAGAGGTCAGGCCCTAGGGAAAGGGAGAGAGCAAGTCTGCGTTCTAGAACCCAGGATGGGCCAAGAGATCTTAGAGGTGGGCAAGGTTCCTGAGCTGCCCCCAATGGCAGAGTGAGGCCCAGTGTGGCAAGGCCATGAGGAAATTACTTCAGCAATGAGGAGCTAGTGTGGAGCTCCCGCAGAGCGAAGCCACACTTTTGGCTCACCACCACACTTGAATTTCATGTACAAGTCCACGCACTTCTACTGGCTGCTCTGACAGGCCCAGCCCCGAGAGACAGGGGCCGAAAGGCCGATCAAGCTAGATGGGGTAAAAGGTGTCTTGTTTTACCTTTAAGGCAAAACACTTTAGTGAAAACCACCCCTGGAGAAGCCCGCGAAGCCTTCTTCTCGGGGCCTGCCTCGGGCTTTGAATCACTTCCTCCTTTTCAGATGCGCCTCTAAGTGTGAGATTATGAAGTTGCTGAGAAGGTCTTGCTCCTCCGGGCAGCTTCCTGCCCCGTGAGCGCGAGCAGAGCGCACGGCGCTGTCCGCGGGCTCAGACCAGGGCGCGCGGCCCCGCCACCCCCGGGCGCAGCGCTTGCCGCGGACACCCAGCGCGAGCGCCCCCAGACCCCGCTTACCCCAGCGTGCTGATGAAGCCGTTGACCGAGCCCTCTGCGTACAGGGACACGATGTCCCCGATGTAGAGGAAGCTGGACATTTTATCAGACATGCTGCTTCATGCTCCAAAGCAGACGTCCCTCCGCTTCGCTGCGCGCCAGCCGGCGGTCCTCTATTCGTGGAGCCGCCGCCGCAGACGCGCAATGGAGCGCCAGGCTGCAGCGTCGAGGGTGCGGCGGAGAGCGCGGCCCCGGCCCCGAGGGATGGGGCGCGCAGTGGCCCCGCGCCGGGGGAGCCCGCCGGGAGCGAAGCCGCAGCGGTGGACACCGCGATGCGCGCGGCCTGGGCGCCTGGAGAAGCCGCCGCCGCTGCTCCCCCGGCAGGTTTCCTGTTCCTTTCCGAAGTTTTCTCTCCAACACCTTTGCTCCTCCTCCCGCCTGCAGCGCTCCCGCCTCCGCGTCCCCTCCCAGCTCGGCGCCGCCAGCAGTCAACGCCGCGCGCCGGGCGCTGGTGCTCGCCGCGTCCCGGGTCCGCTCCGGGGAATTTTGGACCAGGTGTCGGCGCTCATTGGGCGCCGGGGCGGCGAGGAGCCCGGGGGGCAGGGGCGGAAGCCAATCGCAGAGCGGCGGCCGGGGGCGGAGCGGGCCCGGGGCGGGGCCTCCGCGGGGGCCGGGCCACCCGGGAAGCCGCCGAGGTGGCCGTGCGCGCGGACGCGGGGCGGCGCTGGAGGCGCGGCTGGCGCGCGGTGGGGGCGCCGCGGAGGAGCCCGGCCCGGGGGGCTGCGGCCCCCGCCCCCAGCAGCGGGGGACGCCGGGGCCGTGGTCTGCCCCGAGCCTGGAGGCGCAGGGAGGGCGAGGAGCGCGCGGGCCCAGGCCGGGTGGAGAGAGCGCGTGACGCCTGGGAAGGAAGAGGAGCCGCCGCAGGGGAGGGCAGGCAGCTGGGCGACCCAGGGAGACCGGCAGGGGTGCGCGAGTAGGGGAAAAACTGCAAATAAAAGACAGACACAAGGAAGAAAATGACATCAAGAGAGGGGGAGGGAAGTTGGGGAGGAAAGGATCGAAAGTGTAGCTTTGGGCTTCGTCTCGGGACTTGGCTTTGGTGAAACTTGGCTCGTCAGCAGATGTCCAGGTGGATACCAGCAGCACCTGGGGGTGAACGTCCCTTGGCCGAGCCCGCGGTTGTGTAGCCGATGCGGGCAGCCAAGCGCCTGCGAACCCGGGAGGCCCCGCCTGCAGCGCTTCCTTCGCAGCCGAGGAGGCTGAACCTCCCACCCCAGCGCCCGCGGGCCTTGTCCAGGCCGTCTCCGTGCGTCCACTGAGCAGCGCGGACTCAGAGCTCCAGCTGGCCACGTGCCCACAGCTCCTCCTTGACTTGTGTCACCCTCGTCGTAGAAAGTCACTAAAGAAGCCCCTCCCCGCACCGTTTGGGCGCCTGTTAAGATCACGACCACCCCATCAAAAACTGGGGCCTGCTGAGCCCCTCCCCCCACCCCCTACTCCCCCATAAAGCGGGGTTTGCAGACCTGAGCGCGAACGCCTGGCCTGCGGAGAGGACTGTGACCACGTGGTGCAGCCCTCCTGGATTTAAACTTGCTCTGCACAGACATCTTACAGGCCAAAGACAGCTTTGTGGAGGCTAATAATCACGTAAAGGAGTATGAAAGAAAAATAAGAGAAATACTCAGATGATTCTGTTTGGAAACCTTGCAGGGTGGAGAAGAGCATGGTAGACGCAGAATCCAGGAAATGCGTGCGCAGAGCCTGCGTGTGTGGAGATAAACTGGACCGAGTCATGGCCTGGCCGTGCAGCTGACTTGGAAAAGTTATTTAGGAGCTTCTGAGGTCAAGGGAGGAGGATGGGTCAAAGGAATATAAGGGATGGTGGAAAAAATATTTGGTGAAATATTTACTAGTGTGGGAAAACGGTCACAATATATTGTTGAGTGAAAAAGCAGATTACAAGACACATACACAAAGTGATTGGGTATGTTTGTTACCTCTGAGGGACAGCTTTGTGTTTTCTAAGGGGAAGGGGAAAGAAAGCCCCTAGATACACTTAAAGAGAGTGAAAAATGAATTTGCTTCAATATTCCATTAACCAGCCGTGCCTGTTCAGTGTTGAACTTACAGGTAGAAGTAAGAGAAGGGGTATCAGCAGAGGAATACAGTAGTCAAAATCAAGCTCTGGGAAAGGAAGCAGATAAACATACGCTCCTGGGGAATGGGGATAGTGGGAGGTAGGCTGGAAGTGGGGGAGAAGGTGTTGGGGGTACAGGGCCTCCAGTGCCAAACTAAAGAGTCATTTAAATACACAAGTAACATCCCAGTGTATTTCAGTACTTATTTCACATATTATACTTTAAGAACTGGAGACCAGTAAAATAAAGTTCTTCATATATTTCAAATACCAAAGATCCTAAGCAATATTAAACTGAAATATAAATATATATTAAGTATATAAGAAGTTATATATTAAATGTATAACTTTAATATAAACAATATTGCCTGAAATAAACACCTCAGAAAATAAAGTTTAATAGAATGAAAAAGAAAAAACATCCTGAGCCACTTAGAAATGCCTGTTTTCTGACCAAAGCCCTCCTGTCTAACATCTAGTGATGTGACTGCTGGGAGCCTCCAAGACATTAGATAGATGAGCTATTAAAACTCGAGATGGGGGTCCTCCCCCGTGGCGCAGCGGGTTGAGCACAGTGCTAGGAAGCTGTCCGCAGCCTCTGCAGCGCGGGTTTGAATCCCGGCTGACCAGGGAGATATCCTCATGGCGTGGCAGACCTCTCCTGTCTCGCCCGCTGCTCCCCTCAGCAGTGTATTTCAGTGTATTTCTGCATGTTCTGCTCCCCGCTCTGTCTCTGGTGAATTCTCTCACCGTCCTGTGCCTCTTGCCTGCACCACAGCAGTTGTATAAATAAAAAAAAAAGTCTTTAAAAAAAAACCCTCAAGATGGGACAAGATGACCACCCTGGGAAGGAAGGTTCTTCTTATCCCAGAGATGGGTGCATGCATTGGTCAAATTCACTAAGGCTCTTTGTTTCCTCCAGGCGCAAACTATGTGTAGACAACATACTGCACACAGAGCTTGTTTACGCTAATGAACAGATACAAACTCAAAGGCCTGCCATCGAGTGCTTCGCCCAATGGGGTGTCCAGAATAGTCTGAGGACTAGATTGAATGCCACTCTCCCAGAGAGGTTCTCATGAGTCTTCTTACTTCCAGCTTTACCCCTTATGTCAACCACAAGTCAGACTGGGACTGTTAGAGCAAGTTTTTGCTCCAAAGACTGCCATGGCCTCCCATCACTAAGATCTAGTGTCATTGCCAAGGCCACCCAGGCTCTGCAATGCTCTGCCACCTGGGCTGATGCCACCCAGCTGTGCAGGTGTCCACACGTGTGCAGCAGCCCCTGCAGGGAGCAGTACCCCTCTGCACAGCCAGTGTGAGCAGCAGCTGGTCAGTGCCCGCCCATCACCACCACCACTGCCACCTCTCTGACCTCCCCTCTTTGACCTTTGTCATTCTGCCACCTGCCCTCCTTGGGCATCCTTACAGAGGACACACCCACTCTACAGAGGGGCCTGCACCCACTGCTCTCTCCACCCAGACTGTGCTTCCGCATGCATCTGCAGAGCTCCTTCCTTCCTCCTGCAGCTCTCTGCTCTGATTCACCTTCTCAGAGAGCCTGTCCTCCACTCCCTGTAAAAATGCCCAGCCCCTTTTGTACTCCTGCTTCCCTATGCTTTTTCCTTATTACATTTTTAATACCAGCATGTTATACATTTATTTGCTTTTGTCCTGTCTCCTCACGCTAAAATAGAGGTTCTGTGACGGTGGACAATTTGTTTTCATTATTGCATCATTCTGCGGCTGTAAACTGGCTCTTGGCACATGGTAGGCAATCAATAAATGTATGTTGAATGCAGGGGAAGAACTCTCCTCCTGCAGCTCTCTGAGCAGTCTTAGGAGCTGCTGTGAAGCCTGCTGCCCCCCAGAGTAACCGTGCTGCACTGCTGCATAGGGTGCAGGTCACCTCATCTCAGGTTCCCAAGCAACCCTGCCCTAACATGAGTGGGTCCCCAGCTAGAGTCATCAGAGCCTCATGAATATTAAAAGTGGCACATTAGGCCTCCGCAGTGGCGTAGGGGGTTGAGAAGGGAGCTGTGAAGCTGTCCGCAGCCTCTGCAGTGCAGGTTTGATTCTCAGCCGGCCAGGGAGATTCCCACATGGTGTGGCAGACCTTTCCTGTCGCGCCCCCTGCTCCGCTCAGCAGTGCTTTCAGTCTGTCTGCCTGTTCTGCTCCCCACTCTGTCTCTGGTGAGTCCTCTCACCCTCCCACAGTTCTGGTCTGTACCCCAGCTATTGTGTAAATGAAAAAATAAATCTTTAAAAAAAAAACATAAAAGTGGCATTTTAAGCGTGCAGATTGTTAAAGGGAGGGCAGAGAGAGTCAGCATGTTTCAAAGTTCTTTTATCCATCCACCCTGGCAATAGCCATCCCGTGGCCACTCCTTTGGCCGCGTGGACACACTAGTTGTGCAGGCCACACTTGGGAAGATGGGTAGGAGAGTTTGATGGGATTCTGGGGTCTCATACCCAGAACACAGCTTCACAGCAGGAAGAATCTCCGGGCTTCTGGTGGGCTCGGGCCATTGGCTTGAACAGGGTCCTCCACAGCTCAGAATTGAGGGGCTCAGAGCCCAGGGAGGGAGCCCCACTTTCCAACTGGTGGGCACACCCATTTCAAAGTCCCTGTAGTGGCAGGAAGACACAGTGCAGGTTTTCTGATCCAGCAGACCGGGTAAAGGAAGAGTCCTGGAGCCCTCAGTGGATTTTCAGGCTTTTATTGGGATTACCAGGTACACAGCAGGCGGGGGCGCTGGGGGGCTGGGAGGCTTGCAGGCCCCGAAGTACCCCTTAAGGGTGTTGCATGAGTTCCTGGACCCAGTTCCCTTATGCGCATGTGGAGACTTCCCCACACCAACCAGCTAATCTTGGACATTTGTAGGGTGTCTGAGGCTCCAGCTCAGTTCCAATCCTGTCTCGCTGGAGACAACTCAGGTTGCACAGGGTAAGGACTCAGTCTCCTGAGAGGCCACCCTCCATTCCCAATGCCTGTTGCTGGTCCAGCTGGCCACTGTGCTCTGACCAACTGGCTCTAAATCAGAGGTTCCCGCAACCCCCTCCTCAGCTTCCATTAATTTGCTAGAACAGTTCACATAATGCAGGAAACCTGTTTCCTCAATGGATCACCAGTTTATTACAAGGACACTAAAGGACGTGAATCAACATCCAGCTAAAGGGAAGCAGGACAGGGTTCTGAACAAAGGTGCTTCCGTCCTTAGGAAGACTGGAGTCGAGCAAAGTGGCACCTGAATGCACTTTGTTTCCCCAACATGGAAGCTCATCCTTTTGGGCCTTCTATGCAGGCTTCCTTATACCAGCATGATTGACTAACTCACTGGTCACTGATGACTGGTTCAAACT